TCGATAGAATCGATGGTACGCATTTCGAAGACAACTAGTTGCCGTACGATCGTTTCGAATCGTACAATGATATGTTTTATTTGTTCAGATTTTCAAGCATTAAAAGAATACATCACGAATATACATACGTACCTAATCTTCTAATTGAGTTTACTATTTTATCTTCTTTTCGTATCCGTCGAGGTAAATCTGTTTCTTTTTGTTTCCAACTTAAAGAAGAGTGATAGAAAGAGTGTGTGTGCGAGAGAGAGAAAGCGAGGAATAATGAATAAAAATATAAAAACATTCAACCGATAGATACGACCTATACGTAACTATGTATGTGTATCTGTAATAACAGAGTATATCCGAAGTCGGAAACAAAACAAAGGCTGCCGAACGTTCGACACTCTTAAGGATAAATACTAACGTATGTCAATCACTTTCCGTCTTTCGACACGTCAACATCGGCAAAAGCTACTACACGTTAAATTATTCAATAATTTTATTACTAACGTTATAATAATCAATTTAATATCATAGGAAGTTTTTTATTATTAATTATAGTATAAAAATTGATAGTCTTGTTAGATTGAACTACATTCAGTTTATTGCAATAGTTATTGTTTTATTTGAACAACTTTAAAGATTAGTATTAACAATTTTTAGTTATATTATATACTTTTTTAATGGAATTTTATGCAAGTAGTGACATATATGCAATTGATATTGATTGAGTTTTTATATTATAATATAAAGCAAGGTTTTTTATTATTCAGTAGAGTATAAAAATTGATAGACTTGTTAGATTACACTACATTGAGTTCATTGTTTTATTTAAACAATTTTAAGATCACGTTATATACTATTTTATGGAATTTTATGCAAGTGGTGTGACATTTATGCAATTGAAATTGATTGAGTTTTTATATTATAATATAAAGCAAGCACTATCAAAGAAATACTTGCATACTTTGATACATTTAATAATTATTCAATAACTTTTATTTATAATTAAGTCAATTCTTATAAATTATTATACTTTTGTTTTATATTGAACATTGATTATTTATGATAACGTATCTTTTTATGTTTTCATTTTATAAGAACACTAATCACATATGCATTTTTCCAATCGTTTTTTGACGTGTAGTGCGGTCGGTAAACACGTCCCGGTTCTGGTCGCGTTCGTGTTCGCGATCAAAAACTTTTCTATAGTTTTTTCATCTACTCTCATCGTCATCCTAAGGGTAGGAGACCCATCGGGCATTCATCACTGAAGATTAAAAGTAAATAGAATTTTTTTATTATATCTTTTTTGATGATAATTTCAATGATTTTTTATTACGATCATGATATTAATTGTTCTTTTACTTTTTTTGTTTCAGAATATCATTGCAATCGTGCGTGTAGGCAATGAAGTGATCGTGTGTTTGCATCGTTTAACAAAATCGTTAATTAGAGTCAGTGTTTTTTCGCCGTATGTAAAAATTTCGATTTTTTCGGGTTAAGAAACTCCGAAAGTTTCTTATATTCGGTTTAAACGTGTGCTCATCGTCATCTTAAGGGTAGGATACCCATCGTGCATTCATCTTTGAAGATAAAAGGTAAATTAATCTTTATATTAAACATTGTTTTAATTATTAATTATAATTTTGAAATGATAACAATGATTCTAATCATTTTGTATTTTTCTCTTGTTTCAGTGATAGTG